AGGCATGGGGGGAAGGGAGTGTGGGGTTAGGCATGGGGGGAAGGGAGTGTGGGGTTAGGCATGGGGGGAAGAGAGTGTGGGGTTAGGCATGGGGGGAAGGGAGTGTGGTGTTAGGCTTGGGGGAAAGGGAGTGAGGTTGTGTGCAGAGGAAGATATAGTTCTTGCCTTGCAGGGTCCCTGACCTGATGGCGACCCGTGGTGGAGTCTTCATAGTGACAGACACCACTGTAAAAGCAGACCCAGGCTGTGCAACCCCCAAAGCAGGTCTCCTCACTCACCGGGGTAGATAGACAATTAGCCCCAATTCCTCAGCCCTACCTGCACCCACCGTTTGCCATGGTTTCGTTGTGGGTGGGGGGTACTTTCCCGCCCCCTGACTTCGGGCTTGCCCACGTGACTTGCACTAGCCATGGAATGAAGCAGAAACGAAAGCCTGCCAGTTCCAAGCCCACGTCTGAAGACGCCTTAGGCGGTTTCGCGGGCCCCGTGCGCTTCCACCTTCACCCAGAAGCCCTTCTCTGGTGCAGCCGCTGCTTCTTCAGCCTCGGCCCAGAAGGAACGGAGCCCCCTGGCCGATCCGCCGGCCTTCAGGGAGCCGCAGAGCGCAGCGGCCGGCCCAGCGTTGAAGCCCAAGCACAGGCCTGCTAGAACCTTGTTCCAGCCGCCGTTTGCGATGGTTGATTAGGACGCGTTGCTGTGGCGGTAGCTCACCAACCCAATGCGTGCACCCGCTCCTCTATTAGGTATAGGGCCAGTAGCTCCCACAGAGACCTGATACAACAGTGCGTTAAATAAGGAGCTTATTGAGCTCTCATGTCTTAAGTCGGTGGGGCTCGTGTGGGGGCTCCGGCGGGGGCTGTAGCCCCCATCCGCGTGGAACCTCCCCACGGTTCGCAAGTCTGGGTCTTCGGAGCCTTCAGCCCCGCGAGCCCGAACAGTCCACAGGGCGGCGCCAGACCCTCTTTCGAAAGCCACTCTCTAAAGCCTCAGCTCCAACCGCTTCCACTTCTGCTTCAGGCTCAGGATTTTCACTCTTCTGGAATGGGGGTGGCCCTCCCCCAGTCTTCGGAGTCGCAACAGCATCTCCCTCCCTCCAGGACCTCAGAGCCAGAGCTGGGCGAGAGGCCCTGACCTCCGGGATAGGGGTGTCAGTGTCCCTGTGAAGGTGCGGTCCCGCCTCCCATCCCCAGGCTCCCGGCCTCTCCCACCCTCAGCGCCCTGTTCACCTCCAGCTGAAGACGCCAGGGCACCTCTGCTTCCTCCCTGCCCTCTCTGCAGTACCGCACGCAGAGTGAACACAAAAGGGTTTAATATAGGATTTGCCGGGCGCAGGGACTCCTGCCTGTAATCTCAGTATTGGGAGACCAAGGTGGGAGGATCACTTGAGGCTAGGAGTTCAAAACCAGCCTGGGCAACAAAGTGAGGCCCGTCTCTAAAAATAATAATAATAAAATAAAAGAAGTCCCTTTTTCTGGGAGACTGATGTAGGGGAGTGCGCGTGTGAGTTAGAAGGGAGGCATCGAGGATCAGTCATTTAAAGCAGCATCCAAGGATGCTCAAGGCTAGAGATCCACAGATGTATTTTCAGAAACTGAATTTTCTGGCGGGGCGCAGTGACTCGTGCCTGTAATCTCAGCACTTTGGGAGGCCAAGGTGAGCAGATCACTTGATGTCAGGAGTTCAAGACTAGCCTGGCCAACATGGTGGAATCTGTTTTTAGAAAAATCCCAGCTATTCAGGAGGCTGAGGCAGGGGAATCACTTGAACCCAGAAGGCAGAGGTTGCAGTCAACCGAGATCATGCTACTGCATTCCAGCCTGGGTGACAGAGTGAGACTGTCTCAAACAAAAACAAAAACAAACAAACAAAAAAACAAGCTGGGCGCGGCAGCTCGCACCTGTAATCCCAGCCATTTGGGAGGCCGGGGCGGGTGGATCACCTGAGGTTAGGGGTTCGAGACCAGCCTGACCAACATGGTGAAACCCCATCTCTACTAAAAATATAAAAATTAGCCTGGTGTGGTGGTGCATGCCTGTAACTCCAGCTACTAGGGAGGCTGAGGCAGGAGACGTGCTTGAACCCAGGAGGTGGAGGATACAGTGAGCCAAGATCGTGCCATTGCATTCCAGACTGCGCAACAAGAGCAAAACTCCATCTGAAAAAAAAAAAAAGAAAAAACAGACAAACAAAACCGCTGAATTTCCCTGTGGACACCTTTTCTCTGGCAGCCTTTTTCAATGAGGGCTATGTTTCCTCCAGTACTATATGGCCTGCAGACTGCTCAGCTTTCATTCCAGTGAAAACATTCTAGAACAAACTCCAGGTCAATCTCAGGTGTTTCTCCAATCAACTCAGGGCATGATTGTGTGTCACCTGCTGCCCAGCTAGAGTGACAGCTCTCCAGGCCTCTGACTTAGCTAGGTCTCCACCATGTGACTCCACCGTAGACTCCCCGCCTTCTTATTTTGCAAAGCCTCGGACATCCAAACACCTACCAAAAGTGAGTAGAGTGCCAGGACACATCCAATTATAAGTGGGGTTCCCCAGCACGCCTGAATGTGGAAGTGTGCTGCAGGGTGGTGGCTGCTCGTGACACTCATTTCACCCCTTTGTGTGCAGCTGCCGGAAGCCCAGGAAGCACACATCAAGGCTCCCTTGCCAGCGGGGTGCTGCCAATAAAATGGAGTCACGTGGGATTTGGTATGTGGAAAGGAGGTAGAAGTCATCCTTTCCTCCCTCGTAGCAGCACATGTGCAGGCTCTGGTCAGCTGGACTCCATACTCCCCCACCAGTCACCAGCCTGGGGACCGTGGGGCTGCAAGGACCTCAGCAGCGGTTTCCCGAGTTTCCTGACTTCTTCCACCCTCTGGAAATCAGCTGTGGTAAAGCAGCCTGAAAGCCAGGGGTGCAACCTCCTCCTCCCCAACCTTCACCACCTCTAGCCCCTCCAGTGATAAGCACTAATTGCCTATATACAACCCCTTTTTGTTTGAAATAGCTAGAGTAATTTCTGTTTTCCTATCTGGGGTAGTGTAACATAAGAAGACATATATATATATATGGTCTCTGCCCCCAGTTCCTAACACAAAGCTCCTAAACCCTTTGGAAATTCCTGAATGATGGGGGTGCTAAGAGCCTTGTCTTCTTTTTTGTTGTTAATTTATCATTTTTCTTTTCTCCCAGGTGTTTTTTCCTGTTTAAGCTTTTATTTTAGGTGAGGGGACACATGTGCACGTTCGTTATATAGGTACACTTGTGTTACGGGGGTTTGTTGCACAGATTATTTCGTCACCCAGCTACTAAGCCTAGTCCCCAATAGTTTTTTCTGCTCCTCTCCCTCCTCCCACCCTCCACCCTCAGGTAGGGCCCAGTGTCTCTTGTTTATGAGTTCTCATCATTTAGCTCCCGCTTATAACTGAGAACATGCAGTGTTTGGTTTTCTGTTCCTGTCTTAGTTTGCTGAGGATAATGGCCTCCAGCTCCATCCGTGTTCCTGCGAAAGACATGATCTCGCTGTTTTTTATGGTTGCACATCTTTTGTTCTAACATTTGGTCCTTGAACCTGGTTCCTGACACAGAGCTCCTAAATCCCTTGGAATTTTCTGAGTGATGGGAGCGTCCTTTGTTCTCATGAGGTGACTCTTGGTGGGCTCTTTATTTGGGTCTGGTCACCAGAAAAACCTAACTATGGGTGGAAGCTTTGTGCTTTCAGCCCCATTCCCCAGCCTCTGGGGTAGGGAATGGAGCTGGAGCTCAATCACGCCTGCGTGACAAAGCCTCCAGAATAATCCTTAAAAGACAGGCCTTGGAGAGCTTCCGGGTTGGTGAACACATCCATGTGCTGGGAGGGTGATGCACCCCAACTCCACAAGGACCTTTCCAGACCTCACCCTGTGTATCTCTTCATCTGGCTGTTCATTCGTATCCTTTAAAATATCTTTTGTAATAAATCAGCAATAGTAAGAAAACTGTTTTCCTGGGTTCTGTGAGCTGTTCTAGCAAATGTTCAAACCTGAGGAGGGAGCTGTTGGGACCTCCAGTTTATAGCCAGCTGGTCAGATGCATAGGTGATGCTTGGCCTTGCACCTGGGGTCTGATGTGGGGGCGGTCCTGTGTGACTGAGCCCTTAACCTGTGGAGTCTGGTGTTCACTCTGCTTAGGGCTTCTCTGCCTTTGTAGTGTCCTGTCAGAAGGCCTTTCCTTCCTCTTGTCAGCTCAGAAAACTTTTCTTCCACTTCCCTTCTTCTAAGCCATCCCTTACATCTACTCCTTTCCAGCCAACCAAGAGAAGAACCAGGGCTGGCTCCACTGCCACCGTGCCATCCCACACTGTCTCCTCAGGATGTATTCAGATGTCCGGCCCTCCCCCGAGTCTAGGAGCCCTTTGAGGAAAGGGATGCTGTCCTAGTCAACTCTCTCCCAGCACCAGGCACAGCGTCTGGCACGTTCCATCTTTTTCATGGACTCTTCCCAGGTGGCCTGACCTTCCCTCCTCTGAACCGCTGTATTTCTTGTCTGCATCAAGTTTGCCCTATGTTTGCTCTAATCAGATATCGCCTTATTTCATCATCTTTTAAAAATGCTTTATTTCTCTGGCAGGTTTCATTGGAATCAGAATTTTAATTCATTTAGTAGCTGTTGGCCTTATGTCTACCTCTCTCTTGCACTCAGGTCTCACTTAAGAGCTGGCCCTCTGAGCTGTGGTTTGCCGTCAGTGAGATGGAGACAGAGGTAGCCCTAGGCAGTCTTGTTTTGTTCCACGTGACCCTGGGTGCCCCTCCCCCTCCCAGGCTACAGAAAGGGATGGGCACCGGCCTGGGAGAGAGAGCTCATCCACAGGCTGGCCCAGCAGAAATTCTGGGCTTAGACAAAACTGCTCAATTGAGGACAAACTGGGCAAAGTAGAATCTTACTTTGGGAGTTTTTAGAAATATGGTGGGATAGCATTTGGGAATAATAATTGTAGCCAGGCATGGTGGTACACTCCTGTAGACCCCCGGCTACTCTGGAGGCTTAGGCAGGAGGATCTTTTGAGCCCTAGAACTTGAGGCTGCAGTGAGCTATGAATGCACCACTGCACTCCAGCTTGGGTGACAGATCAAGACCTATCTCAAAGGAAAAAGGTACACATTTGAGATATGTAAAAAATGTTTTGTTATATAAAATAATTATCTAGGCATTAAAATGTGAAATTATGTAAATATGCCAAAATAGGAACCTGGAGGTGCTCAGAATGCAGACTTTGGGAGCCCAGCAGTGCAAGGATCTCTAGTTTTGGCTTCTTTTTTTTTTGAGATGGAATCTCGCTCTGTTGCCCAGGCTGGTGTGCAGTGGCCCCATCTTGGCTCACTGCAACCTCCGCCTCCCGGGTTCCAGCAATTCTCCCTGCCTCAGCCTCCTGAGTAACTGGGATTACAGGTACGCATCACCACCCCCAGCTAATTTTTGTATTTTTTAGTAGAGACAGGGTTTCGCCACCTTGGCAAGGTTGGTCTTGAACTCCTGGGTCCACCCACCTCAGCCTCCCAAAGTGCTGGGGTTACAGGCATGAGCCACCATGCCCAGCCTGATCTTGGCTTCTTGTCAGCTCCCTGCTTATGTCCAACACTCACCCCTATTACAGAGCTGGTGTGGGGAGTTTTTGTCCTGGTGACTTAACAGTGGAACTAAAGTGCGTAGCACTGTACCTGACCACAGCTGGTGCCCAATAAACAGCAGCTGCCATCATCCTCACCATCCGTATGTTATCGTTATTGACTCTTTGATGGCAACCATGGCTTATCCCCCTCTATCTCCCTGTGCCCTACAGCAGGGCAGTGGAATGGTTAAGAGGCTTTGAAGTCTAACAGTCCTGGCTTAAAACCCTAACTTGTCATTTGGATGTGTGGTCTTGGACACTTGGGCAGGTCACCTAAGTCAGATGATGATTTTAAAAACTATGCTTCCATGGATTGCTGGGCAAAATGATGTAAGACTGTAAAAGGCCTAACCCAGGGTTTGGCATCAAGAAGGCAAATTGTAAATGTTAGCTGCTACTCTGCCTATGACTATTTAGTCTTGTGCTTTAAACTCAAATATTTGCTGGCCCACTGAAGTCACCACACAGAGAAAGATGTTTTTCATTCTCAGTAAAGAACTCTGGGAGATAACTGGGGCAGGCAGCTAGACAACAGGTGTCTTTTGTCCAACATCAGCAAACTCATCGGAACCGATGGATGGCTCACTTTGCTTAGAA